GGTCCAATGACAGTTTTTCTATTAATTAATTATGTTTATTCAACAGATTTTTAGCCAGCGAAATAGAAGACACTGATTAATGTTTTTTCTTTTTAATTATTTTAGTGCTTAGTCAGTTGGACCAGGGAACTGCCGCCCGTTACATAATATGTATTTTATCAGGATATATATATATATATTTTACGTATATATCTGTAACAGTTGTAAAAATTTGATTTAACTAAATTAATCCTACTTTCGTTTATTGGTTTCTCATTATTGGTGAGATGTCATTTTATATTAATTATTGTGTCTAACTAGTTTTATCACCCCTTAGGCAAATAGGAATTAGCCAGTCCTAATTCTATTACGGTTGCCTTGCGATCATTTTCGTACCTATGTGTTTGACGCATGACGTTCTGTTTCGTCTCACATATCATTCAATATAACTATATTTAATTTTATATATAAATATATATATATATGTATATGGGCATATTTTGTCGCGTGATTTTTAGATGCCACATTCTATAGAAAATCAATATCACGTTAACGATGATGGCAGAAAATTTGGGACGAAGTAGAAAGCCGTGTATTAATAAATTGTTTCCCAAACTTTGGTAAAAGTGGTATAAAATGACTTTTTAATATTTTAGGTCAAAGTCCCGTAGTCCTCGCAGGAGATCGTTGAGCCGTAGCCGCAGCCGAGACCGCCGTTCTCGTTCGGATTCCCGTGACAGACGGTACTAATATTAGAAACAAATTAAGAAAAAAAAAAAATATACTTATAGAAAAGAAGTCGAACCTTGCACTTACAACACAACGTAAAAAAAAAAAACAAAAATTATCGTATGAACTGTTATACTATTTTCTAAGTGGTTTCTCTGTTTATTTGCAGTTAGGTGCTAAAAGTGAGAGAACGAACCGACTAAGTGTGTGCCGGATGGAAGACAAAACCGATTTTATATGTACATAAAAAAAAAAAAAAAAAAGCTAAACGTTACCACGCGTACATATTTGGACGAAGCAATGATAGAGTAAAAGGCATTCATAAGAGATATGAAACACGTACACAATGTTTAGTATTTTAGTTAACTTTGTACACGCGTAAGATTACTTCACATAAGGGCGTAAATAACATATATGTACACAGAGATGTGCGTGAGAAGGGCGATATACATACTATATACATCTCTGCACAACACGTTTGGAAACACCCACGTACACGTTTATATTACACGCATGCAAAATTTCTTGTGATGCGAGCTGCTGTCGATTATGGTGGATTTCTTCACGGGACGTGCTCATTGCTTCAAAATGTACGAGTGAGGTAAAAACAAAAATTCGGTTACAATTGAGGACAATTATAACGATAAGTATAACAGTGAGAAGCGAGAAATTTTTTTTGGCGTGGAGGTCATTGAAAAGTAGAAAACAGTTTTACGTTGTATTAATTATTTTGTACTCTTACAAACTTAAGACTTTAAAATAAAAGTGTATGGTATAATTGTTTTGGCTTACCTATTGCAAATAGAAGTTTGATGTTCATTACTAGGAACTAATAAAGTACTGAAGTAATAATATACTAGTATTGGATATATTTTATACTTCTTGTCCCGTTTTAAACGTTCAGTTTAAAAAAAAAAAAAAAAATGATCACATACACACATTGAGTTTGAATTATTTTCTTTGTTAAATTATATTGATTCAAAGCGACGAATTCTTAGACACATTGCCAAGAGGAAGCATACATAATCGAACACCTTGTTGACAAAGGTGATAATCTCTTATGGGTAAAGCAAGATTTTCGTCCAGGAGCTTCAAAATTTCTAAATAGAATTTTAGTGCTTCTTGGTGCTTTCCCTCCTCGAGCTTTCTCGAAGCGGTTCTAAAAATGGCGTCTGTATCTTGCAACGCTTTTAAACCTTTGAAGATGTTCATGTTCTTGCCACATTTGGGACATCTGATCATAAATTCGTTTGTGTCCGTTTTTATAGGTAGAACGTTTCCACATTTCCTACCAGACTCGCATTTAAATCTGAAAGAAAAAAAAATCTCTAATATTCCGAGTTACAAAGGATTGAAGTGAACACTTATTTAAATTTAAATAACCGTAAAATGGTCGGGTCGATTTCTTCTAAAATGGGCCAATGTGCTGCACATGCTTCACAGTTGCAGTCGAACCAATATTGTAATCTCAGTTTCCTTCTTCGTTCAGCTTCCGGGGAAGTTGCAAAAATCGGCCCGTAATTCTCAGAGACTTCCTCCCCTGATGGAATGGAACGTATTGCTCGTACAACCATAGTGGTACCAATAAAGTACCTGTACACCCAGTGATGATTATTCGCAACTATTTCATAATTACCATTTTAGTAATTAAATCATGGACGATTGTCATCGTGAATTTCGTTGGTATTCGTAGTTCTTTTTACCTGATGATGCCAGGATTGCACGAATGATTGAACAGGGAAATCGTCGGGTAAAGTCCCCCACCGATAAAATTGTTTTTAGCTTTCGCTAGGGCGTTGCTGCCTTTTGGCACGTCGAGTTCTGATATCTAAGATGTGTAACGCGAGTGAAATGCAAACAAAATGCACCGAATCTTTGTCAAAAAAAAAAAAAAAAAAAAAAATAAATCGTACAACTTACTTCGTGAGCGTTAAACTGTATTATCATTAAGTTGTGAAGAATCAAACCACCAATGTACAATTCGCCATCGGAAGGTTTCGCTTCCGCTGTGTCTGGAGTTTTAACAGATTCTGGGAAGTAGGGACCTCTTTTCAAAAGTCTCAATAGCCAAGTGGCTATGTAGGTTCTATGGAAAATATCGTCCGACGTTCTTTCGTCCTCGTGTGATACTGCACGAAGGAAAAATATGTAAATGTATGTTGTCAGTGAATTTCTGAAAGACTTTCTCTTGAATTTTGTACAAATACCTAATCCATAGGTGGTTTCAAAGTCGTCTGCCCGGTAAGGCCGCTGTGCCGAGACCTGGACTCTACCCTTCGAGGTTTCTAACTTGTCTTTGAGTCTCAGTAATTCGTCAAAGGGTCGTTGGGTGATTGCCTTCAAGGCTAAGAAACAGTTTACAGAGGTTCTCGAGGCCCACAGGCTGGGTAATATCGTGCATTCGTTCTCGTGAGTCTTGGAATCCTTGTTTCTGCAGGAGATACTGCAGTAAGCCACGTAGTTGCACGTTTCACAGACAGTCGGTATCGGGACGAATATTTTCGTGAAACAGTAGTAACAATTCGTGAGCCTGGAACGAAATTGTTTCAACGTTAATATCACAGTGAGTTAGATGGAATTTTTTCTTTCCATTTGATGGAGAAGCATCTAAAGAACTTGCCGAAAAATCGACCTTGATCTTCGATTTCAAGGTCGAAAATTTCTTCTGCATTGTGCTCTGCTCATCACGAAGGTGAAACTTTCCCAAGGAACCTAACAGTTCTCTTGAAAAATGGTAAAAAAAATTTCTTAATGCCTGACACGCGTGCGTTCTAACAGCGACTTTATGATTCTGGACGCGTGGATGCCTACATTACGTTTATATTATAATGTTTGTATTTCGAATAATCAACAGTTAGTTTTGTCATTCGATTATTTAGACTCACACTGATGCTACAACTATGATAGATCAAATGTCAGTGAAACCTAATCCAGAATCGTAAAGTCGCTGTTAGGACGCACGCGTCCTGAACGATCGAGAGACTTCTTCGCCATTTCTCAGGAAAACTATCAGAACCATTGTGATCTGTCGTTTCTTGGAAAAGTTTTACCTTCGAAGAAATAATCTTCGACCTTGAAATTCAAGGTCAAGCTCAATTCGCGGCAGACTGTCGACGCGGTATCTCCATCAAATCGAAGACAAACTTGTCCTTCTACACTGTTATTCGATGATTTGACGCACCTGTATTCGGCCAACAAGGCTGCGCAGTGTGGTTTCTCTATCGCCAGTATCTCGCCAGGTTCGATGTCTTCAGTAGCAACGGCGTGTCTACCGATATTACCGCCTTCATCTCTGATTTCGACCGCTTTGCTACACGCAGGGTACAATTGATTGCATTCGTCGATCTTTGGCGTCGTTCTCTTAGGCTCGCCGATTCTTTCTCGCTGATGGATCTTCGGCGTCATTTGCGCCAATTGGTTACCTTTGTCTATCACGGCAAGCATAACTCTGATGTCTGCTTCGAGCTTCTGTTTCTTGTCCAACGGCAGTTTCGCTGTGTCCAACGCTTGCAGAGCGTTTCTGAACGCCAGCACAGCCTCGCCTTGCCTTTTCATCCCGAGCAAACATCTGGCGCGTCTCTCTTCGATCTTGTAGAGCAGCTGCTGCGGGTATCCGACGCGCAAAGCTTCTTCCGCGTCTGTCAGGCCGTAATTGTACTTTTCCAGGTGGTAAAGCGTTGCCGAACGATTCGCCAATATAACGCCTAAATCTACGCAGCAGATTCACAATTAATTTCACAGCCAATTTAATTTAGTTTAGGTTAGTTTAGGTTAGGTTCGTTGGTTGTCGGTTGGGATAGCTCAGTCGGTAAACTGATTTATTTTAGGTTAGTTTAGGTAGGTTTGTTGGTTGGTTGTAGTCAATTTAATTTAGTTTAGGTTAGTTTAGGTTAGGTTCGTTGATTGTAGATTGGGATAGCTCAGTCAGTAGACTGATTTAGTTTAGGTTAGTTTAGGTAGGTTGGTTGGTTGGTTGTAATCAATTTAATTTAGTTTAGCTTAGTTTAGGTTAGGTTTGTTGATTGTAGATTGGGATAGCTCAATCAGTAGACTGATTTAGTTTAGGTTAGTTTAGGTAAGTTCGTTGGTTGGTTGTAGTCAA